TAAAAAACAATAGAAAAAATATGTTAGGTACACCCATTTGTCAATTCATAAAAAGAAAGTGGAGGAAGTGAACATGATTGTAAAATTAGTATCCACACAAAAAAAAAATAAATAAATAAATAAATTACTAAAACTTTTAGTTGATATTACAATGGTATTCTAATGTATCTTCCAACATAAATATTCTATTGGAATGAGTTTTTCATTAAAAAAAATTTATATGGAAATTATTGATTCTAACGATTATTTTTCTAATAATTTATTACCATAAAAATTTTCGTTGAAATTTTTACTTTCACACATATTTCATTTGTTGGAAATATACGGTTAAAACTTTCAAATTCAATGAAAATTCTAATGAAACACTCATTCCAACATAATATTTTTATTAGAATTTCCGTTGAATTTCACATTATCATTGAAATTATCCTTAGAATTTCGTTGAAATATATTTTGATTGGAAGTTCGTGATTTTCTTGCAGTGCCATTAAACACTTTAGTTATAGCAATGTTGTAAAGAAAAATAAATGCAAGAAAATAAACGTATAAAAGATGAAGACCTCACATTTGTTTCGGTGAAATTATATATAGATATTTTTTTTTTTCTTTTTAAATATGAAGACCAATTTAAAATAATATACTATATCATATATATCTCATGTAAGTTAGTGCAGTCCAAAGAGAGTCCATTCTATCATTGATAGGCAACTTCATCAATAAATGCAGACAAGTAATAGACCAGAAAAAATTCATACCGTGTTATGGATGTCTTGTGCTATCAAATTAGGTAAATACTAGTAGATATCCTGTGCGCATGCACAGATGTACATAAAATATTATAAGTAATATTTAAAAATTTAATATCAAAATTCTAGACAATAAACATATTACAATTTCAAAAATTTGATCATTAGCAAAAACTAAATTAACAATTTTATTATTATGAACAATTGTTTATTATCATTAGGTAATAACAATTTGATTATTATTATTATTATTATTATTATTATTATTATTATTATTATTTATTATTATTATTATTAATAAAAAATAATTGTTTATAAGCTTCTAAAGTTGTTTGATTATGTTATTAATACAATTTACTAATTGTATTCGTGAGCTACAAAAAAAAGATAATACTGATGTTAAAATAAATAACTTGAAACAATTGTTTCTATATTTATTGTGAACTATTGTTAGTTGGTATTAGCAATAAATATTATATAATATAATAGAAAACATGGACAATTACATTCAATAAGATGTATTAATGTGAGAAATAAAAAAATATTAATGATACATTTTGTAACCGAAAATGGAGAGAAAACTTTAGAGGTTTTATTAAATAGGTTTTATTAAATGCTATATGCTAGCAATTATATATATATAGATATAGATTACAAATATAAGGTACAAGAAATAAAATATTTATGATTAAGCATGATTTTTAGTTAATTAAAAATATATAAAAGCAAGTAAATAATAGATTCTTTTAAACTATGGAATTTTCGAGTAATAATTATAAATATTTTCTGAAAAAAAATAAAAATAAACTCGTATCACCATCAACAAATTTATTTTATTTTATTTTATTTTTCTAATTGATGCGTGCATGTGCCCTTTCTTACGTCTTGCCCCTTTGTATCACATGGTTTGTTATCAAATCTTTGGCTCGTAATTAATGGAGAACTTGTTTGGCATCTTGGTTAGAGTAACAAATCATATGATCAAATGATAATTTTTTTCTTCATTTTTAGATTATCTTTGTTAAATGTTGCAAATCAAATTCGTACATTGATTTAGGTATATTTAATTGTGACTATTTAGATGACTCAAAATTGTGGCTATACTAATAACATCAAATCAATCATCTTTCTTGCGCGGATAGAGAGTTTCATGTTCCCCATTTTTTGCGTGTGTGTGACTGAGTGTAATTTCGTGCCAAGTTTGAGGGTAATTTATTGAATAGAAATCGAGTTTGAGCCATCAAATTAACATAAAATCATATGGATGTATGAGCTTGTGTTTGTTTGAGATAAGATGGCTCATACCTCTATCCATACTGTTAGTGACATTGAATCAGTCCTCGAGGGCCGTTATTTTTCATTTTTTCGTGTGTTACCGAGTGTAATTTCATGATAGGTTATATGGCAGTTTATGGAATATAAATCAAGGTTTGAACTATGAAATTATCACGAAACCATGCATGTGGATGCATGAGTGTGCGTTTGTTTGTGATCAGATGACTCAAAACTCTATCCATACCGGTAATCCGTGAATCAATCCTCTTGCTTGCACCACTCGAGGTTGTTATTTCCCATTTTTGCGTGTGTGGCAGTTTAATATCGCGATTGGTTTTAAGGTAGTTTAGAGGATAGAAATCGAAGTTTATTGAGCCATCAAACTACAAAACCATATGGATATACGAGTATGTGTTTGTTTGTGATCAAATTATTCGAATTAACCTTTATCTATACCAGTACCATCAACTTAATCCCTTTTTTTTTTTTGTGTCGTCGAGTGTAATTTCATGATAGATTGTAGGGTAGTTTAGGAAATGGGACATCTATACTTTATTGTTACAAGCAATGAGATTATCCATCCATAAGTATCATCAATTGCTATAGCTAGTTGTTTTTTTTTTTTTTTTGGTCATTGAACTTTTCTTATTTTGCATTTCTTGCACCAAGGACAAAATACAAATAGGTGAAAGTATGAGGGGTTACGGGCAGTACGGATGTACTTGTTAAAGGTTGAGGAGACAACGGTCATGTGGAGCAATTTATTTTATATTTATAGTGTGGCCTCTCATTTATTCTGCCCGAAAACTTGCCCACACCCCTCACTTGTTGTTGCCCCCCCTCTATTATTGACTAATTCTCTATTATACTAAAATTTGATGCTACGAGATCTTGTTACTGAATCATTTCGTCGGGGTCTGTAACCGTTACATCATTATATATTCGTATGATTTAGTTGATCTAACAGTTACAAACCCCGACAGAATGGTTTGTAAGAGCATCCACAATGCTTTAGGTTCAATCACAAAAAAATTGTATGACACATAAGAAATAGACTTAGTTTACAAAAATATATTCTCTAATGCAAACAAAAATAAACTGGGTCCTGCTGATGTGACAGCCAGAAAAAGAGACTCGGTCTACCATTAAGTCTATTTTAGACCCAAGTAGAGATCTAGTCTCTTTGCATTGGAGTAAGTTTTATTAATTTTACATACTTTTATCCATGTCATCCAAGACTTGGGTTTATTTACATGCCACATAGGCAAGACTAGACACAGTGCATTGTAGATGCTCTAACGGGACCGTAACATTTCTCTAAAATTTGATCCTAATATATTTTAAGATTTAGATTTTCTTAATCTATATCTATATAACTGTGGGCACGCTTTATTTAATTTTATTCAACCTTTAATTAATAATAATATGAGTTCATTTTATAAAAATAGGTTGTATTTATTAAAAAAATTTATGACCTCCATCCAAAAAACCGTTATAACATTTTTTTTTTTATTTATTCCATACAACCATCCACCTATTTTTTACTATATTTTGGATTTGTAACGGTTACATGCAATTACCATTTTTTATTTCTCTATATTTGGATAATATGGTTACGAGATAATGTTAAAGTCCTTAAATTTTGAATGGTTAAAAATATTTTTCAACACGTTTGTTGACTATTTACATGCAAAATAAGTATTAATTATTGATGCTAGAGATACAACACAAAATACATATAAGAAAAGTCATCTTTTATAATAGAGATCTTTAAACCAGCTCATTCGCATTCAAAATTTTCATCCAAGATTGTACACTATATTAGATGAATTTAATGAAAAATAATTATCCATTTTATTTTATATAATAAATATAGTGATGAATTTGGATACTTTTATGATGTTCATTTATACTAACGACAAAATTTTTAAATTGCGATACTATTATTTAACTTATTATTTTATAATTATATACATATACGTAACTTGTAAGTTATGATAATTTAAATTTATGTGCACGTGCACATGATCAAATACTAGTTAACATGGGAAATTAACATTTTGTTTTACTCCATGATTGAATATCTAATTAATTTTAAATTTATGTCCAAAAGTAACTGTAAGTACTAATTAATAAATTATTTAAAAATTTTAATGTTTACAGCTTTTTTCTTTTGTTTTTTTTTTTAAAATAAAAAATCCTACTTATAAAACAGTAGTATTTTGGTTTTTTTTTAGCTTGATCGTTGTTGTTGTTGTTGTTTTTTTTTTT